ATCCCTTCACTTGTAATTTGTGTTTATCTTTGACTGTGAGGTGTGTTTCTTGGCAATGACAAATGGTTGTATCTTGTTTTTTGATCCAGTCTACTGGTCTATTTCTTTTTATTAGGGAATTGAGCCCATTGATGTTTAATGTTGCTATGGAGAAATGTTTGCTTCCTGCCACTTAGTTGTTTTTCTGTAGTTTGCTTTTTGAGATATGATCTCATATATGATATGCTTAGAGTGGCCCAGGGTGTGATCCTCTTGTTTTTGCTGCCTTGAGTTGCTGAAAATGACAGGTACAAGCCACTATGCTCATCCACTTTGCTTTACCTGTAATTGGAATAACAGATATGCATCACTGCACCCAATTATTGGTTGACATAGACTATCAATACTTTTTTTATGCCTAGGCTGGCCTTGAACCACAATCCTCTAATCTCTTTCTTCCAAGTGGCTATGATTATAGGCATGAGCCACTGTGTTTAGCTCCAGTATTTTGTAGGTATTTTATTTATTTTAAAGGAGACAATCTGCAGGTCAACAACAGCTTTACAAGCATTTATTAAGTTATAATCATAGGCAAGCCATGAAAACAAAATGAAGGAAAAACAAATATAGTTTAGAAGTGAAAACAGACATGAAGTTTCACAACACTAATCTCAATTGCATTAAAATTATTTGGGTTTAATTGCTGTTTTTCAACTACCTAGTAATGAGGTCAAGAACTTAGATCATTATTATCATCATATCCTCAACATGTATCATACCTCTTATACTTAATAAGAGAAGGCAGCAAGACCTTCCTAGGTTCCAGTGTCTAGCTCAAACTGAGGACAGGACATTACACCTCTGGGTGATTTTGGCATAGATACAATGCTAATGGATTTCCTTGAAACCCATATCTCAGCTCTGTCAATCTCCATCTTGCCTACCTAGAACAGGGACACATCAGCTACAGGATGTGGTTGTAGTTCCATCCTTTATTTGTAGTTGGCCAATACTCATACAGCACTCCATATTTGTCAATAAGTAGATCAAACAGATGATCTGAATATACTGTGATGAATATTAAGAAAAGGCCCATGTGCAAGATGTTAAGATGTGTGACAAGGACACAGACTCTTCACGATGGGAAATTGCAGACTTCTGCATGTACATTTGTGTTAAGAGGGACATCTGAGTCTGGCACTGGTGGCTCATGTCTGTTAATTCTAGATACTCGGAAAGCTAAGATCTTGGGTATCATGATTTGAAGGTGGCTCAGGCAGAAAAGCCTAAGAGACTATCTCCCACAAAATCAATAAAATGCTAGGATGAAGGTCTGGCTCAAACGGTTTAGAGTGCCAGGTGAAAGTAAGCTGAGCAAGTACAAGGTCTTGAGTTCAAACTTCAGCATCACTAGATAGGAGAAGAAAGGAGAGGAGAGGAGAAGAGAAGACAGGAGAGGAGAGGAAAGAGGCAGAGAGACACACAGGAACAGAGTCAGAGACAGTGAAAGCAAGAGAATCTTCAGTGAGGCTGATTTTTATGTTTATTATTATTTTGGCAGTATGGGGTTGAACTCATGGCTTTAGGAAAGTGTTCTCCCATGTGACCCATACTTCCAGCCCCAGAGCTGATTATTGGTAATCAATTTTTGCTTTTTGTTCAAAACACTAAATATTGCTTAGTAAGCCTTCCATTTGGCAAGTACCTTTGCCTCTAGGATGTTAAGCAGGGCCAGGAGGGGCGTAGAGAAACAAATATTTGGCTTTGATGCTTAGGTATAAAGAGGTAAAATACATACAGAATTCCATGGTTCCAACAAAACTAGAAAGGCAGCCAGGGAATAAGTCAGGGGTGGCATTAGAGACTGTACAGCTAGCTCTAGAACATGCTCTTTAATCTTTGTATCTAGACAATGGAAGTGCAGCATCAGGATGTGACAGGAATTTATCTCAAGACAAACACTGATTAGGTGGCCATATGATTGTTGTTACCTCTTAAAATTCTAACTCTGCCCTTTTGCTTGTCCTGGCTTTACAGCATTAAAACAAGTTGATTCTTTTTTTTTTTTTTGTCGGTCTTGGGGCTTGAACTCTGGGCCTGGGCATTGTCCCTCAGCTCTTCAACTCAAGGCGAGCGCTCTACCACTTGAGCTACAGCGCCACTTCAAACAAGTTGATTCTTTACCATCACTCCTGAGCTCTTCATTCTTCTACAAAAATTGACTTCTATGCTTCCCTGTTTTCAAAAAGAAAATAATAGAAAATAGCAAAAAACCCAATGCCACCAAAAACATTTCCTGGTATCTGAACTTTTATGTCTAAGCCTATTGCTATCTTTAAAATAATGAAATACGGACACTAAGTACATTCTTCTGTGGGCCATTTGGATTAAGTTCTCTGTCTCCTTATAAATGTAGCACAATACCAAGCTTAAGCAAAACACTCAATTCTTTGATGGCCCATATAACAAGCCTAACATAATGAATATACTGGAGCTAAAATAAAATAAAAATTAAAATTTCAGGGATGAACTTCTCTCCTTATTTTTTCAGACTATATATATATATATATGTGTATATATATATATATTTTATTGTGACAATACTGTACAGAGGAGTTACAATTACATGGGCAAGATAATGAGTACATTTCTTATCAAGCATTGTAGCCTCCTCCTTTGTTTCCCCTTCCTATCCCTTCCCATCCTCCCCCTGCCCCCCCACCAATCCTCCCCACTCCCCCCCCCCCCCCTCACCAAAGTTGTAAAGTTCGTTTTCGACATAAGGACTTGTACATCTCATTGTTGCAATGGGTCCACCTGTATCCCTATTTAAACGATTTGTTTTTCCCCTTCCCCTCCACAAATTATGCTGACATCAAATACAGTGAAAGCAGGGGTTATATTGTGGGGGTCCCTCCTTATTTTTAACTAGCATCCTGCTAGGATACCTTTATCAACTTTGGCTTTTTTTGGGGGGGTCTGGTCGTGGGGCCTAAACTCTGGGCATGGGTGCTGTCACTCAGCTCTTCAGCTCAAGGCTAACACTCTACCACTTGAGCCACAGCACCACTTCCAGCTTTTTTCTTTTTGCTTATGTGGTGCTGAGGAATCAAACCCAGGGCCTCATGCATGTAAGGCAAGTGCTCTACCACTGAGCCACCTTCCCAGCCCTGAATTTGGCTTTTAATGTTTGCTCCACAACCAAAATATTATACTATTGCTTATGAAAAGAGCAAAATTTGATGAATTTTGTGTGTGTGTGTATGGTGCTGTGGATTGAACTCTGGATCTCACATATGCTAGGTAAAAATTCTGTTAACTACATCCTCTGGGTACACACACACACACACACACACATCTCCTTGAGGTAGGATCTTGCTGGCCTCAAACTTGTGATCCTCCTGCATCAGCTGGTGAGTAGCTGCTATTATAGTAGTGTACCATTATATTAGTTCCTGGGAAGAATTAAATAGTTTTATTAGTGTATATTAATTATAGAAAGCAATAAGTTTCGGGGCTGGGAAGGTGGCTCAGTGGTAGAGCACTTGCCTTGTATACCTTGTATGTTCGATTCCTCAGCACCACATAAGCAAAAAGAAAACAGCTGGAAGTGGAGCTGTGGCTCAAGTAGTAGAGCTCTAGCCTTGAGCTGAAGAGTTGAAGGACAGTGCCCAGGCCCAGAGTTCAGGCCCCACGACCGGACCCCGCCCCCCAAAAAAGAAAAGAAAGCAATAGGTTTCATTATGACATTCCACTATGTGTGTACAATGTGCTTTAATCATACAAGATTGGGTTCTTGTTCTCTGATAGTACAGAAATAAAGTGAGGAACAGCAAATGCAATTATAGTAGACTAATAATTTATTAACAAAGAGAAGTAAACGCCACTCAGAAATGAGTGGTAGGACCTAAAAACTGGTTGTCTGTCATGTGGTCTGGGACCTTTTTCCTCCTCCCTTTAGTTAACTTGTCAGATTGTGATTGGTTTAAAACAGACAAGACTTTTCCCTGGGTAACAGCTGCAGGATGGTGGGCTAGGCTGAGCTTGTCCATCTTCCTCTTTGTGTTATGTTCTTTCAAACCAGGGGCAAGTTATTCTTCCTTTATCCCCCTCCTGACTCCGTTTTCCCTTTCTGTGTTCCTAACAGTTCCCTTTTCATTCTCATGCTCTTCCCCTACCTGCATTCCACATGAGAGAATATTTGTGATTCTACCCTTTATGGGATTGCCTGAGGTCACTTGACATGATCATCTCTGGTTTCATATTTTCCTAAAAGTGACAATCTCATTCTTCTTTATGGGTGAATAAAATTCCATTGTATACACATACTACATTTTTTAGCCATCCATCCATTCACAGAAACCTATGTTGATTCCAGATATATTCTATTGTGCATCAATAAACATGGGCTTTCAGGCTTCTCCACAATAAACTGGCTTTGATTCTTTTAGAATCAAACTATCCCAGAACTGGGATAGTTAGATCATATCAGAATTCTGTTTTCAACTTTTTGGGGAATCTGCATACTAACTCCATGTGTCTGGACTAACTTTCCCACTAGAGGTTCTTTCTGCATTTTACCAACATTTATTGTTTATTGATTAGACATTTTTTGAAAACAAAATGAAATCTTAACATGGTTTTGCATGGGATTTCTCTGATAACTAAATATTCAATATTTCTTCATGTATTTAATGGTTATCTGTACATCTTCATTTGAAAATATCTGTTCACTCTAATTGCCTATTTACTGATCATTGGCTCTACTGTTGTTTAATATTTTTTATTGTAAAGATACTGTACAGAGGGGTTACAGTTACATGACTAAGGTAATGAGTACATTTCCTATCGACCATAATTACCCCCTCCTTTGTTTTTCCACTATTTCTTCCCTCCTTGCTTCCCCAACTCCTCCCTCCCCACCCCCAAGTAATAAAGTTTGTTTTCAACATAGTGTCTTGTACATCTCATTGTTACAATGGGTCAACCTGTATCCTTGTTTCAGCATTTTCTTATTTCTCTTCCCCTCTCTGTTGTTTAATTTTTTATCTCTGCATATATTCTAGATGTGAATCTTCAGCTGGATGGATATTTGGGAAAGATTTTAACCCATTCTCTTCACTCTTGTATTTCTTTTGTTGATAAAGTGCTATTAATTTCTGAACTACTGGAGTTCTATTCAGAAAGTCATACTGTTATTTTCAGATCTTGAAGGGTGTATTGGGTCCTCACAGTTCTTGGAGAGAATGACAAGACTTTGAATAATTTACCAACACATGGATGTTTTTATCATTAACCAAGAAATATAACTCATATTGTTTATTTGATCATAGCTAGTTGCTTCATAACATGACTTTTTAAAATTAAATTTTTATATTTACTTAAAGTTTTTTTGTGAAAAAAAGCAACATGCTTTCAAAGACAGTCTTCACATGAATCTATGCTTGACTCTGTAGCAGACCAAAGATAGCCACAAACCTGGCATTTTTAAAACTGCATATAAGATCTAAGCTTATGCTCATTCTAAATTATTTCCTCTAAACTTTTGCTAAGTAATTCTAAACAAGTAAACAAAACATTAGAAGCTTTTAGTGGTCATCTGAAGATTTTAAATGTTCTTTTTTGTTTTTTTCTTCTCTGCTTCTTCCTTTTCTTTTTCTATTTCAGTTACTTGGAATTCAATTTCTTTGGCACTAAACATCTGAAAAGAGGAAAAATTTTAAAAAGCAAATTTTAGTTACATTGGTATCTAAATATTTCTGTCTATAATTTTGCATTTTGTCACTTCAAATATACAGTGAAATGTTTCATAAGACTCAAAAACAACAAACTTGTAATAAGATCAGATCTCTGATATCTCCGTTATTACTACATTTTGAAAGAAAGTAAAGCAAAATGTATGTTGAATTACATATCATATGTGTAACTGAAAATTTTTCAACAGGCAATTTATTTCTATTTGTACTCCCTTTGACTCACCCTATTGTGTGATTCTCTAACAGGGTTTATCTATTTGGTCAGTTCATACAATTGTCAAAAGAGATAAGTAAAGATGATTTGCATTATGTTTAATGTCTCCTCCACTAGGCTGAAAGCAAGAAGTCTGTATCTTCTAAAAATGTTCAATGTTGTTTTTAACATTTCTATTGAATGTCTCACACACAGATCCAATATTACACAATTGCTGCTATAGACTACTTAAATAAAGTTAAGGAATTTATATAGGGAGACCTGAATACATTTCTTTATTAATGAAAAAGGTATTTAGTGACTAATAAGGAAATAACCAGCTTTACTAGATGGCAGTTTTTCAAGAGATTTTAGCAATTATCCCATCACCATATTTTACATAAAAGGGAGCTAAGAGTAAAACCAGCAGAGGAATTAACAATTAGCCCTCTGACTTCTGTTTCAATTTCAGAATTCTTTGTATTGCACTACTGTATTTCAAAGAATCTGTCTTTGTCAATAATATACGTAAAAGTTGTTATCTGAATATATGATGGAGGGAACTTAACCTAAAACATTTACTGGGAGATCTATGTGCTCTGAAAATAAGGTGGAATAACATGTAAATCTTGCTTGCTATAATATTCCATAGTTAGACAAATAATTAGGTGATTATATCAAAACTCTGAATAAAGTGGCATGACATTATTTGTGCAAGAGTCTAAGAAGCCTTAACATTTAAAATCAGATCCTGAGTATAAGCTTTTTTGTATGTGAGGCAGAGTCCTGAATTTAGCCCAGACTGGTTTCAGATTCTTCTTTTGGCCTCCCGATTGCTAGGATTATAGACATGAGTCCTCACATCCAGCCACCAGTGTATGAACATGTTGAAATTAAGGAGGTAGCCAGCTACATCCTGCTAACTGCCCTCCACCTTGTGATGATTACACACAATTACATATATTTTTTAAAAGAAGATATTAAAAGCTTATAATGAAATACAGCATTTCCTTGATCCATTCACTGAGAGAGGTTCAATGTATTTTCTTTTTTTTTTTGCAGGTCATGCATCCTGAACTCTGGGCCTGGGCACTGTCCCTCAGCTCTTCAGCTCAAGGCTAGCGCTCTACCACTTGAGCCACAGCACCACTTCTAGCTTTTTCTGCTTATGTGGTGCTGAGGAATCGAACCCAGGGCCTCATGCATGCAAGGCAAGCACTCTACCACAGAGCCACCTTCCCAGCCCAGTTCAATGTATTTTCAAGTGAAAAGTAGAAGAAAAAAAAAGAGATGAAAGCCAGCAGACATAGGCTGGGGATGTAACTCAATAGCAGAGCACTGCCTAACATCTGCAAAGCTCTGGGTTTATTCCCCAGGATAGGGGTGGGGTAATGGGGTTTGGAGAGGAGACAACAGCAGATAATAAAAAAGTGAGGGAAGGTCCTTTGACATAATCAAAGATACTATCATGTAGAAACCTAGAAGGCCAATAACATAAAAACAGCAACCTATTGACACTGGTGAGAATATCTTGACTTCAGAGATATAAAAAAGAGGAAAAGGAACTGTTCTCTGGATGGTACTAGCAATTCCATAGGGAATATGCTAGTCAGACCTCACAAAGGACTGAATTGGTAGATGTTCCTATTCACAGGAACTAAACTGGTAGGCTTATACAGAAATCCGACTCTGACCAAATCTTCACAAACAGACTGGGGCTGTAAATACTGCCAAAAACCATATACAAATTAGTGACTATTAACCTACCAAAACAAAATGGAAGTCTTGGGATGCAAATGGATGTTTGTCTTTTGCTTATAATGAAGACTCACAGGTATCAACAATACTTCAACTTTTGTCAAAATATATTATTGATTTTTTTCCTCTTTGGTTAATGACTTACCTTCAATGGTTGATTTCTTCTTATTATAGCCAGTTCAATATTTTTCCCACCAGACTGGACAACCTAATAAAGAAAAAGTACATATCAGAACTAGTTTAACTAGTTTGAGATGTAGTTAAATGTGTGTCCCTGGGTTTGATCCCTAGCACCACAAAACACACACAGACACATACACATCAGCACATTTTGTGTTTAATAAAATGTATTAGAAAAAAAACAATGTGATTTTCTGAGTGCTTTCTTAGATCACTTACTTCTAGCAAAGCTCTTATTGCTAGCTTGATAGCTTCATTGTCATTTGCTATGGCATCTTCTGTGTAATTCTTTTCTAGAAATTCTCTAACAGTTTTAGCACTTCGACCTATTGCATTGGCCTTGAAAAAGAAAGAAGTAATTATTAGTACCATTGAAATATGAACAAATGTATGTGAATTTAGGATTCTGGAGTTTACTCCAATATTCCTTACTAGAAATACAATGTAAAAAGTTACGTGAAAATTTAGTAAACATTCTAGAAATGCATTTAGAGTTTTTCATAATTCATAAATGGTAATGATGTTTCTGGGTAGTTTAATGGCTGCCAGGTCCTTTATATCTAGAGAAGACAGAAAAATCTGGAGAGAGTGAGTTCTAGGCCAGCTTGGGCTATACAGTGAGTTTGAGGCTAGCCTTAGCTAATGAGACTCTTTCTCAAAAAACAAATAACAAGCCTGGTGCCAGTGGCTCACGCCTGTAATCCTAGCTACTCAGGTGGCTGAGATATGAGGATCATGGTTCAAAGCCAGCCCAGGCAGGAAAGTCTGGGAGACTCTTATCTCCAATTAACCACCAAAAAGCCAGAAGTGGCACTGTGGCTCAAGTGGCAGAGCGCTAGCCTTGAGCTGTAGAGCTGAGGGACAGTGCCCAGGCCCAGAGTTCAAGCCCCATGACCTACAAAAAAAAAAACCCCAAACAACAAACCAATAAAAGACATCAATGTCAATGTAAAAAGGAAAGTACTTATATGAATAGAACTTCTATGAGAAAATGGAACTTTAAGTCACTTCCTGTGACTTAAGAAGCAAAAAGGGCTTCTATTCTATTTCCTATTTTTCTCTGTTCTTTGAAATGTTCATACATAGATGAAATTTTCACACACAGATGAAGGAAAGAGGCAAACGGATCTCTGTGCTTGCAAGGCTATTGGTAGCAGACAGTATGTTCTTTTCATTTAAGGAGGTCATTACAACTGATGATGATGATGATGACGACGACGACGACGACGACGACGACATGTTAATGGAACACTTATGTGTCAGGCATTATGTTGTTTTAACTGGATTTTCTTTTTAGTAGTACTTGGGTTTGAACTCAGAGCCTCATGCTTGCTAGGCAAGTACTCTACCACTTGATTCCTGCCCTAAGTGGATTATCATTTAACCCTTATGAAAATGATTAATAGGTACTATCTTGAATACAAACTCTTGGATGAAGACATGGGGGCTTGGAGTTCTTTAAACTCAACATTATTAGTTTTTTATCATGTGTGTTCTATGAATTGTAGGTTACTTTGCAGTCTTAACTGATTTGGGTCTAGTAGCATCTTCACCCTAGTCTAACAATCAAATATATCTCCAGATATTATCCAATTTCTCTCCCTGTTTCTGTCCCTGTCCCTACCCTGCTCCCTCTGGTGCCAGCACTGAGGCCTGAACTCATGGCCTCACACCAATAATGAAGACATGCTCTAATCACTGGACTATACTAGCTTTTAGGTCTTAAGAGACACAGTCACAAAGCTGAGGTGGTTCACTTTGAGCAGAAGACTGATGTACAATTTCTTGCCAACAGCCTTGACAATAAGTTCTGGGTGGATTACTATGACATTGCCTCCCCCCACCTGGATCACAATGTATTAACTATGAACTTTTATTCAACTTCCTGGTCATCTTAGTCAAAAAGATCGTTGACTGACAATGTTGGGGAGTTCTGGATAAAGGACTTGTACAGATCATCTTGTTCCTCACGTGTATTTGCTGGTGTCATCAGAAGGCTTGACGTCCAGGTCATGGATCCAAGAATTCAGAGGCACTATATTCACATCAATTACAACTTTACAGTATAGTCAGTTTCTTGATCAAATTGTAATTATTTTTTGTCAGCTGGGGCCTTGTTATAATTAAACATTAGGCCTTACATTCTATAAACAAACTACATTTCTACCTCCCCTACCATTGGGATACAATCTAACTTTGTAGTAGTTCAAGCTGGTCTGAAAATAATGATCCTTATTCCTTTGCCTCAAGAGGCAAACCCAATTTCCTGACTGAATCTTCAGCAGCTCAAGATTTTTTTTTTAAATTTTCTAGTGTACCCAACACAAACCCAAATTTAACCCAAACTCTGTGGCATCTTTCACATGTCTCTCATTGATGATATATATATATTTTTTGGGGGGTCCAGTCGTGGGGCCTGAACTCTGGGCCTCCAGTCGTGGGGCCTGAACTCTGGGCCTGGGCGCTGTCCCTCAGCTCTTCAGCTCAAGGCTAGCGCTCTACCACTTGAGCCACAGCGCCACTTCCAGCTTTTTTCTTTTTGCTTATGTGGTGCTGAGGAATCGAACCCAGGGGCTCAGGCATGCAAGGCAAGCGCTCTACCACTGAGCCAACTTCCCAGCCCCTCATTGATGATATTCTTAAGACTGTGGTAATCATCTGCTTTGAAGTGCATGGTTTCCCTGAGTTTTACTGCAATGACAGAGATTAAAAATTCTTATGTGGCCAAGTTTGCTGCCAGGATGAAAACTGCCATTGGTCATACTGAAGACTAGAACAGGCAAGGGCAACTGTGGCAGTAGGATGATTACTTGGGAATTGTTAACTAATTCCTTCTCTATGGTACCAGATTTATGAACAGCAAGGGACAGACACCTCAGAACAACATCCCTAAAAAGTTAGATTTACTTTGCCTTCTATTCATCTTGATCATCTGTCTGCCAATCTTCTGTCCCATCATACTTATTTCTTGCTAACCAGGGTAGATTTAATAGCTTTACTGATGTGAAGAACAGCTTTTTCGGAATCCTTCCCTATAGCATGAATCCCCCATGAATTCCCTATACCATGAATTCCCCAAATGTGTGTGTATGTGGGGAGGTAATGCAAAAGGGCATATTTCTAATAGAGGACATGATAGTTTTACTGAGTTAGACGATTACACTGCTATTTATCTAGTTTGGACTCCTCATGCCACTGAATAAACAAAGAAAAGGATAGTATGATTTGTTCTGATTATCAATAGAAGTAAAGTAACTATGAGTCAATGGGATCAGGAAAGAGGTACTAGAATTCAAAGGATTTTCTGGGGATCTCTGTTAGCATTCCTATATAAAGTGAAAAACCAATGGAGCGCTATATAACCCAACATTGGTATCAATGGAACCGATTTTCAGAAATAAGAGTTGTAGGGCTCAAAGATAGACCTCTTATGTAGCATGTGTAAGGCCTTAAATTTGATCCCTAACCATTTTTCTTCATGTTAGGGACAATTTTTAAAACTGTTATTGTAAAGGGATGTTCAGAGGGGTTTACAGTTACGTAAGTCAGGTGATGAGTACATTTCTTTTTTCATGTATTAGGTAACAAACTCCAAACTAAAGTGTTGGTCCCAGCTAGTTCTAGCATTTCTACAATGTATCATGAGTCACCCTTCAGATTTCTACTAAAAATTCCACATTTTCTCTTCCGATATCTTGTTAAACTGCAACTCCACCTTGCAGAACGTTGTCACATTAGTGCCATAGCTATTTCCCCAAGTCCACTGAGCCAGAATACTGAGGGTAAAAAAGTCAGGGTAAAAAACAGAACAAATGAAACAGAAACAAACAAACAATGAACAACTGAGTCTCATAGTTAAAATGTTAATACAAAAAAAGAAGTCCGAAGTAGAAATCAAGTCAGAAGATTTCATTCTATCTCCTAAGAATGAATATTCTATCTCCAAGAATGAGTATCAGAATTTGTATGATAGGCACAGAAAATCATTGTGCATATGGAAGATAGCATTATGTAGTAGAAAGAATCAAACTTATTCCTAATAGCTTCCACTAATTGCCATTTACTCGGAATGCAAACCTAAAATAAAATCATTTCAGCCTCAAATCTCAGTTACTAAGTATGTAAATTGAACATTTTTTATATTTTTGTTATAGATTTTTAAGTTCCATTGTAATTCCTTCTCCTACAACACCATAGGAATGCACAGTATGTAAGACACATAAAATGACCATTGTGTGGGTTCTATGTCTGCCTGTGGGTACATGCAGAGGCAGTTCACACTCTCCCCATTCCAAATGTGGCCTGAGGTCACCATAGCAAGATCATCATCAACGACATTTCCAACAGTTCAAAAATATACAAATTTCTTAAGTTACTGTGACAACATAAAAAGACTTTTCTGGATATCCCTAGAAAGAAATCAGATTAAAATTTTAAGAATTATGTTAACTTGGAAATTGTGTTATGTTGTATTTTGATACTTAAATGAAGAGTGAAAATGTAATGACAAATGCAGACAGAAGATGGCAGGCTTCAAAATATTTCAAGCTTGCTTTCATTAGGTCATTGACTTGGGAGGTACAAGAAACCTAGTACACGTAAAAGATTTCTTGTTGGCAGAAAAAATGTATTTGCATCAGATAAATCTATACCTTTTGATTACCAATTAGAATACCTAGGCAGATTAAAAAGGTACAGCTGACATTTGTTGCAAAATTATAATCTACTGCTTTACTGGTCTGTTTAACTGTTAAAAACTATCAGAGCAGGGTGCTCCAGCCTGTAATTCTAGCTACTCAAGAGGTTGAGATCTCAGGATCGAGGTTTGAAGCCTGCCTGGCTAAGCTTCCTGGAATTCATTGACCTTTTATAATTGTTCAAAGGTGTTATACTATGTAAACCCACCCCTTCAGTTTGATTATATATTATAATATGGCCCTGCAAGTGTTTTGGTATGTTTATATTTTAGATTTAACTTTCATAAAATGGAACTGTTTAAAACCTGTGTACTTAAAACTTTTAATGAAGTAAAAGATCCCCTACAGTAAATTCTATAACATACATAGTCTTATTCTTTTATAGAAGAACATATGAAAATTCACTTCTGGAAACTACTACTAGTTTCTCTGGTTCCTAGACTTTGGTACTGGATTTGAGTGTATCTTTAAATAAAGTTAAGAGCTGGTACTAACAAAAAATAACAGCTCATCCAGAAAATAAACTACTTCAGGATCCAGGAATCTTGTGGAGATTATAGCTATATGTTAAAACCTAAGTATGTAACATAGGTTTGGAGGATCTGACTCTAGTAGAATAGAGGACATGTTAAATATTTCAGAGTAGGGTTTAAGTGGTCATCAAATTCTGTGTGTGTGTGTGTGTGTGTGTGTGTGTGTGTGTGTGTGTGTGTGTGTGTGTGTGTGTGTGTGTGTGTGTGTGTTGGTACTGGGGCTTGTACTTAGGGCCTGGGCTCTGTCCCTTAGCTTTTTTCACTAATCTAATACTTGAGCTACAGCTCCCCTTCCAGTGTGTCTATGTGAGAGAGTGTTGTGTATTGTGTGGTTAATTGGAGATAGAAGGCTGGGTGATGAGATCTGAGGATCACGGTTAAAGCCAACCCAAGTAGGACAGTCTGTGAGACTCTTATCTCTAATAAACTACCATTAAAAAAGCCTAAAGTAGAGCTCTGGTTTAAGTTGTAGAGTGCTAATCTTGAGCAAAAGAAGCTCAGGGACAGTGTCTATAGACATTAAGTTCAAATTCCAGGACCAGCACAAAAATAAAAGAGTCTAATGAACTTCCCTTCCAAGGCTGGCTTTGAACCCTGATCCTCAGATCTCAGGCTCCTAGATGTGTGGCCAAATTTTTAATTAAAAGCAAATACTGTACTACTTTTACTTAAAGCAAGTATCTTAGGACACAATACTAACATAGTAACATGGAAGAATGAACTGGTGAGGAACTGTATAGTATTTCTCTTACTTGGCTTGTTATAAACACTTAGATCTGTTATATTTTTTCAAAAGTAAGGAAAAGAATATTATTTTCATTATTCATAATCATTATTTTTTGACTAGCTAAGTGACTGTAACAATAAAATTTGTGTACATCATTTTGTAATATCCCCTGAAAACAATAATTATAATGCATATATTCAAGTTCTAAAAAATAATAAATTCATTACTCACTTTCCAAGCATGATAGGTACCAGAGGGATCTGTCTGATACAATCTTGGGATGCCGTCATCATCAAAACCTACAATTAAGGCAGAAATACCAAAAGGTCTTCTTCCATTGCTCTGGGTGTATTTCTGCAAAATAAAATTTATTTTTAGGATAACACTATTACTTATCAAATAAAACATACTGTATAACAAATAAAACATTGCTGACAAAAATTATCTATGTAGTTTATGCTGCACCAGGGAGTAAAGTCAGGACCATGATATTACTAGACAAGTGCTCTACCACTAAAACCATGCCTCTAATCTTTTTGCTATCTTTCTCAGATACTATCTCACTACTAACTTCACCTAGACAGGCCACCTGCCTCTGCCTTCAGAGTTTGATTCTTATTTTATTCTAAAACTGTATTTTATACCATTTTAGGGCTCTTTCTGGACTAATTTCAACTCATAACAAACGTAAATTAATATATATAATTAGGAAAATAAAATCACAAGTTTGCTTCTACGTGGCTTTGAGATGTGTTTTGTTGCTTTGTGTACAACTTGGCAACATAACTACTACACCTAAGTCTCTTTAATAGAGGAGAAGATTGGGGGGTTATGCACATCATTTTGGCTCTCAGTAAAGCTGATTTCAATAAGCTATGCTTTGGAAGCACATCCTGGTCTACCTTGAGGGACACTAATTGTTACTATTATTACCAAGTATTCTTACTTGATACTATTATTATCAAATGTTTTGTTCACTTTATGCTAGGTTATCTCTACTTAAAAATCCAAATGAAACGTTTCTTTCAGCCACATGTAAAAGGACCTTTTGTTTCTCCTGAAGAAAAATTATTCTTTCTTTTCAAAGACAATGCAGTGCTGGAAACGAATTATATTCCTTATTACAATAGTGACAAGGGACTTCTTGGACATGTGCTGGCTGCAAGGAGTGGAATTCCCACTGAGAATAGTGCTCCTAAAGTCATACAGAGGCAGCCCTGGAAAAAAGCTGAGGACTAAATATGTAGGCCACTTTATATAGGTGTCTGTTTGTGGTTCTATGTTAACTCTGTATACAACTCTGTGATTTCAATTAACTTTATAGTAGCTTTTCTCTAGGCCTTATCTATGTATAGGGCCTTACTATTCAATTTTGCTAAATTAAATGAATTTTTACAAGCCATTTCAAAATTTGAATGCAAACAATTGAGGCACCAATATAAATAACCTTATCAAAAATAAGGCTATGCTGGGTACTGGTGGCTCAGACCTATAATCCTAGCTACTCAGGAGGCTGAGATCTAAGGATCAAGGTTTGAAGCCAGCTCCAGCCAGAAAGTTCATGAATCTTATCTTCAATTAACTAGCAAAAAGCTGTAAGTAGAACTGTGGCTCAAGAGGCAGAGTACTATCCTTGACCAGAAACAACTAAGGGACAGTGCTCAGTCCCTGGAATTCAGTCCTCAGTATTGGTATTGGGGGAAAAAAAAGTATTTCACACCTAGATATAATGCCATGAAAATATATCTTATTTACTTATTAATCTTTTTTCAATGAAAAATTAATATATGCATAGGGGTAAAATGATATATAAAAGACACAAGTGAGATATCTACTTTCTGTTCCAGATCTCCAAGTCTCTCCAGGGGCAATCTTACTGTGACAGACTTGTAACTATGTTTTAAAAAATGTTCTGTGCTTAACCTTGGTAATTCTAGAAGAAATTCTATACTTTTTGGTGGCTACCTTTGTAACAACTTGCAAAATCAAAGCAAATAAAATAGGAAGGTCATATGAAAATTTGAGATTTTCTGTCACAGCTTAAACAAGTTTAAAAAGGCCCAAAGGGGGAAATTTTGTTCATAAGTCCATCATTTAAAACTTCAATATACAAAAGAATTTGTAAAATATCTCTACATAGATGATAATAGGTTTGTCAGAAAATCTGCTTGAAATATATTAAATTATGCATTATATTACTTAAAATAGGCATTATCCATAATATTCATTTTATGTATAAGAAAAATTGAAATATCCAGTTTTCCTAAGGCACTAAAAATTAGAAAAATCAGAATCAAATTTCAAAATTCTAGCTCTTAAGGACACACTATGTTTTAAATTGTATTTATTATTATCACTAAGTAGTCACTAAGGAATTAGTATTCAACCAATCAGTTTATAAGTACAACATATCTTGATCAATGTCACCTAATTCATTATTCTCCATTATTCTTCCCAACCCAACCCCTCTTCCTCTCAATTTTCTTAATTTAATAGGACATATATTGAATCTTATGACTGCATTCTTCCTCCTTCCTCTCTTACTTAAAAAAATGTTTTGTTTTGTTTTTTTCCCCCTCAAGGCTAGCATTCTACTACATGAGCCTTAGCTCCACTTGTGGGTTTTTAATGTTTAATTTGAGCTAAGAATCTCAAGGACTTTCCTGTCTAGAATGGCTTTGAAACATGATCCTCAGATCTCAGCCTCCTGAGTGGATAGGATTAAAGGCATAAGTCACTAGCACCTGTGAAAGACACACTCAATAACTAAATTGCCACTTCTAAGAGAGTATACTTTAGCCAGGTGTGCTGACTAACACCTGTAATCCCAGGTACTTGGAACCCAAATCACAGTTCAAAGCTCACCTGGGAATAAAGCATGTGAGACTCCTTTCTAAATGAATAACTGGCTATGGTGACATGAGACTGTCATCCCAGCTACGGGGAGGGCTGAAATTAGGATAATTAAATTAGGACAGACTGGGCTTCTAGACATTGGCAAGACTCTTTCTCAATTGGAAGAAGGAGGACATGGTGGTATGAGCTTGTTATCCCACTTAATGTGGGAAATGTAAAACAGGAAGCTCACAGTCCATGCCTGTGGAAAAAGTGAGAACCTGTTTCAAAATTAGAAAACTTGTCTAGCAAATGTGAGGACCCAAGTACCACAGAAAAAGAATGCAAATAGCAACCACAATACTATAATGACAATGTAATATTTTTTTGTAAAATAAAGAAAAAGAAGAAATTCAAAGTTGGCGATGCCCCGGGTACAGCTAGCTGCACAATAAAATTGGTTCAGTCAAATGTAGTATATAGTTAACAAGAAAATAACTACACGAATGATGTTGTAATATATAAAATATATATAAACAAGTGAAATGTATCATAATTATACTTAATACATCAGAATTATACTTCAATGTTTATCTACGTACAGATTTAGAAGAAATTATACCTAAACAAGATCAGGTGTGTTTGGGTTTGTAGGTCAGATTTAAAGTGGTTATTACTTTATCTCTAAAAATATAGAACTTTCCTTAAAAGAATAGACTTACTGTTTTTTAAAATTTCCTTTAATTCCTAAAATTGAAACTGATTAAGATTTTCTGTGATAAAAGCAATCCATTCTACCTGAATAAGTGTTTGAAATAATTGTGAGAATAAGGTATTTAGTAGATTTATTTGAGTGAATTCTTATAGCATTTATATGATAGGACCTGCCAAGACAGAAAATAAAACAAATGAAGACATCTGCTTACCTGCTTTAAAGTTGCAATGAAGCGAGTTATGTATTCTACAGTGACTGGGTCTTCAACTGTAAGCTTATGGCTCTGGCATTCCACCCGGGCTCTGTTTATCACTACTCTTGCATCAGCAGTCAGTCCTGCAAAAATAATTAAAACTTCACAAAGATGTATCTTTTTATATTATTATATTTGTCTGTGTCAAAGGACTTTCAACTTCATCAAATCTTTCTGAAAACTTCATTTTTTCCTTCAATGTCGTTTCTGAAGGGATTGTAATAGGAAAAGTACAACTTACATATTGATTTCCTTTTAGAAATTTAAATTGATATGTTCTAGTTTTTAAAGAAACTACATACTAGTTTTAAAGAAACTAGTTATTAAGAATGATAGTCAAAATTCACAAGAGGTTTTCTTTGTTGTTGCTGTTTTTAACGTACTATGTGATTTTTTTTGTTTCTTTTGTATGTTCTTTCCCCCTATGGTATATCCCCTGTTGTCACTGTTTTTGATTTTGGTGCCCTGGTATTGTATATATATTTATCTGAATTAGGGAAGGGAAGAGGAAAAATAGAATGGTGAGACAAAGGATGAGGGGGGAACCAATGCAACAGCAACATATACAAGACAATATGTAGGAAATGGTCTGTACAACTTTGTGGGGGAGGGAAAGTAGAAGAAAAATGAGGGAAGGGGAAACAAGCTTGACAAGAAATGTACTTATTACCTTACTTATGCAACTATAGCCCCTCTGTACATAACCTTGACAAAAAAAAATGCTACTAGCGAGCTGGATTTTTTTTAACATGAAAATGTTCTTTTACATGAAAATGGGTTGGGGATTTATCTCAGTGGGATAGCACTTTCCTAATAAAGTACAAGGCCCTGAGTTCAATCCTCAGCTCTACAGAAAGGAAGGAAGGAAGGAAGGAAGAAAGAGGGGCTGGGAAGGTGGCTCAGTGGTAGAGTGCCTTGCATGCCTGAGGCCCTGGGTTCGATTCCTTAGCACCACATAAGCAAAAAGAGAAAAGCCGGAAGTGGAGCTGTGGCTCAAGTGGTAGAGTGCTAGCCTTGAGCTGAAGAGCTGAGGGACAGCGCCCAGGCCCGAGTTCAGGCCCCACGACTGGACCCCCCCCCCCAAAAAAAAAGAAAGAGAGAGAAAGAAAAGAAAGGAAGGAAGGAAGGAAGGAAGACAGAAAGGACAGAAGGAAGGAAATGTTACTTCATTGTCAAACAGGTATCTACTGAATTCAAACTTGTATTTAATACAACTATCATGGTTATTTCTTAGGTTGTTGTGTCAAGACTAAAGGTTTAAAAATTAAGAATTTTTTTTTTGAGTCCGGTTGTGGTGCCTGAACTCTGGGTCTGGGTGCTGTCCCTCAGCTCTTCAGCTCAAGGCTAGCGCTCTACCACTTGAGCCACAGCACCACTTCCGGCTTTTTTCTTTTTGCTTATGTGGTGCTGAGGAATCAAACCCAGGGCCTCATGCATGCAAGGCAAGCGTTCTACCACTAAGCCACCTTCCCAGCCCCAATAAAGGATTCTTCTATGGTCACTTTATTTCTTTCCTTGATTTTCTTTTTCTGAAAAAAGTCTAGGTCAGTGTTGCTGTGTAAAGCAATAGTTAACAAAGGAAGAGTGGGAAACTTAGAGAAAAAGAGCCAAATTGTATTCTAAAATGTGTGCATACCTCCTCCTTGATTTCTTAATATGGATTGAATTGTGCTGCTTGAAACCCTGAGTTCAAATACTAGTATTGAAAAAAAAATTGAACTGCCAAAAACAATTTACTGATCAAGTCTTAGAAATTTCCCATTGTGCACATAGCCATTAGTCTTTTGCAGTCACCGATTAATTTCTCTTCTACATTATTTGAATTCCTATTTCTATACATCTGGAACAATCTTTAGTCCTTGAAATTAATATTAGTCAATAGTGAAGCTGTTTGAATACATCACTGCTTATAATTACCTAACACTCATAGGTAAAGTGAATTTTAGCCAGACAGTCAAATAAAGAAGAACCAATTTTCTTCTCTTTACCTAAGAGAAGGAAATGGCAAGAGATTGACTTAATCTACCTTGTGGATTAAAATTGCATTCAATTAGAAATATGTTCAGATAGGATATTTTGGAATTTCCTCTTGACAATGTGAATATGATTCACAACTGGAAAAGGATAAAGATTAATATGCTTGGAGAAGCTATATTTAGAACACAGAAAGAGAAGAGGAGAGGAGCATTGGCAGAAAACAGGACAGCTGAAGAGTGTGGAGAAAGAGAAAGACAATGAGAAACTAGAAACAATCTGTTGCTCATGATCCAGTTCCTTGTACTGGAAGGGAGGCTGAACTTCCCCTACAAGATTAACTAGGTAGCCTTGGTGATAGAACAGTAGACATAGGTTCAAGACAAGCCTATACTTCTCCCAAGCTTTAAACCCACTGCAGAGGCTTGTATCATAGGCTAGCATCAGAGAAGAAAGACATTTTTCACTTCTCATATAGCGGAGAGTTATATGTAATATAAGATGAGGCTTATTGTTTAAGATTGACACATTCTGGAGATTTAAAAACAAGGAACAATCATGCCTCAGAGAATCTTAACAAAACTCATTATTAGACATTTATAACAGCTAATAGAGTTGTAATTTCCTTTTAAAAAGAGGTTGTATTCAGAGGGGCCCATCAGATGAACTGGATATTGATGAAAATGAACTAAGCAACTCAAGGGCAGTGATGGGAAAGAGACAATGAGAGGGAAAAAGGGAACAGCTAACACTATGCAAAAGGAAAGCAATGTACATATCATCTGATGTGGAAGAAATAGTTGTATTATCAAAGGTCATAGAATTCACAAACTTTAGGGCTGGGAAGGTAGCTCAGCGGTAGAGTGCATGTCTTGCAAGCATGAGGCCCTGGGTTCGATTCCTCAGCACCACATAAACAGAAAAAGCCGGAAGTGGCGCTGTGGCTCCAGTGGTAGAGCACTAGCCTTGAGCTGAAGAGCTGAGGGACAGCGCCCAGGCCCAGAGTTCAGGCCCCATGACTGGCAAAAAAAAAAAAAAAAAAAAGACAGAATTCACAAACTTTATAGACCATGATAATGACAATTTGCCTTGTGAAGGTTAAAATGTGTTTGTGACTTTAATTATTACTATCCCACAATACTGTGAAATTTATGTAATCACTTAATCTCAATACAAAAATTATAAAAAAATAGGTTATATTGTCTGTTTTTAGTAAAAGCTGGGTGATATAACTACATATGTTGTACAAACATGTAAAAATATTAATTAATATTAGGGACCATTGTGTTTCCATACCACAGCATTGTTAGTGTAGGGCCATAAGTACCTGCAAAGGCCATGCAAACATGGTCATCAAGAGCACAAATTTTCCTCACAGTTCTTTCATCTTGAAGCTTGGCAACTGATTTTTTTTCTACTCCAAGGACAACTATATTGGTGCCTCGAATTCCAACCTGTCAGGTCAAATAGAAAATAATTAATTTTAAATTTAAAACTGACAAGTTATTCTAGCATATGACTTAAAGGAAAGGGTGTGTTGTTAAACATTTAATAAAAATGAAAGAAAAATAGACTTCTGGGAAAACAAGTGCATAAGTTCAGGCTTTCTGGCAGCCCATTCCCCAAACTCAAAACAAAGACCAAATAGGTAGAAAAAGCAAAGAAAATACTACCAACAAAGAAATGACAAGTGTCCTGATTTCATACCTCAAAGGCACTATCTAAACATAGTACAGTTTTAACCAAAGTGAAAGAAGATATTGTTCATCCATACAAATTGCTACTATAGTGGCTGATAATGGCAGTGATAAAAAAATAGTCTAAGGGGACTGAAGTATAATGATTGATAGAACATGTGCCTAACATTTACAACTCTGTGTTCAATCTCTGTACTATTATATGAAAGAAGAAACTATGACTAAGTTGGCTTTAAGCTTCAATTTCTAAGCCTGAAGTAAAAAATAAATTTGTTGTTTATAAATTACTGAGTATATAATATTGTTACAGAAGCCAGAATGAACAGAGAGGCCAAAAGTAGCCGAGAAAGTGACAGGATCACAGGTTATGAGGGGTTGCCTTCAGAAGGAATTAACATAGCTCTTATGAGATCCCTGAGTTAATTCTCTTGAGAGATTTAATTTTTATTTTATTGATTTTCTTTCTGGTCCTGGGGCTTGAATTCAGGGCCTAAGCACTGTCTCTGAGCTTTTGTGCTCAAAGCTAGCACTCTACCACTTGATCCACAACTCCACTTCCAGCTTTTTGGCAGTTAATTGAAGATAGGAGTCTCATAGACTTCCCCGCCCAAGCTAGCTTCAAACCATGATCCTCAGTTCTCAGTCTTCTGAGTAACTAGCATTATAGGTATGAGTACCAGCTTCAGAGTTTTTATAAGAAAAACAAGCCTGTCTCCTCCTCTTGCTCTGGCCTCTCTTGGCTAGTCATGGCTCTCTCTCTTACACATGGTCCTGCTATCATGACACCATCTCCTATGCTGTCCTCACAAGAGCCAAACTGATACCCTTGAATATCCAGTATTAAGTTTCTTTTTTTTTTTTGAGTCCGGTCATGGGGCCTGAACTCTGGGCCTGGCCGCTGTCCCTCAGCTCTTCAGCTCAAGGCTAGTGCTCTATCACTTGAGCCACAGCGCCATTTCTGGCTTTTTTCTTTTTGCTTATATGATGCTGAGGAATCAAAACCAGGGCCTCATGCATGCAAGGCAAGTGCTCTACCACTGAGCCAGCTTCCCAGCCCCCTGAGAATCTTATGTCTAATTAACCACCCAAAGGTGGCAGTTGAGCTCTGGCTCAAATGGTAGAGCACTAGCCTTTAGCTAAAGAGCTTAGGGATAGTGCCCAGGCTCTGAGTTCAAGCCCCAGAACTGACAAAAAAAAGAGTTGTTTTTTAAGCAAATAATTAAAAGAAAATTCTAATAAAAGTTAATTTATCTAATCTAATAGAGTAAAAGAAATGTATACAAAGAAATGAATAAAAAGAAGAAAAATATCAACATAATAACCCCAAATTAAAAAATAATAAAATTTAAAATTTGTATGAAAAAGACAAAATAGAAAAAAAAATTTAAAAACTCACAGCAATAACAATTAAAAAAACCACTTAAGACTCATTAACAAACATGAGATAATCATAGAAATAAATACACATCTCAAAAATGTATGTCAGGCCTGAGACTATTTATGAATTGATTTTTATTCATTCCTATGTATTTAAATTATTATCTGCACAGGTAAAACTACAGGTTATATCAGAAATTAAATCTCTACCGATTCTACTCTTTACGTTGTATGCCTGGTTGTCATCTGTGTTAGTTGAGCCTTTCATTACAATTAACAAAATAGGCAAGACAACTAACTCATGAAGGGAAAATGTTTACTGTGACTCATGGTTTTGGGGGTTCCAGTCCAGTCCCAAATGCAGAACTTTAGGCCTCCAATTAGAGTGCCAAAAGGCAATGGTGGGAACCACATGTAGAACAGACTGCTCATTTGATGAGCATGGAAAGCAAAGGGGAAGAGGAAGAAATGTGATCCCACAGTCTCACATAGGACCTCCCACAATGCTTGATCTTTAGAGTTCTACAGCTTCCCAACTGTACTACACTGGGGCCCAAGCCTTAATATCTGGGTCTTTGGAAGACATTCAAGATCCATCTTTTACTGAACTCTTTCTCCCATCTCATCACACATATCCAAATAATTACCACATTTCTATCTGATCTGAAAAAATAATCTGCTTGAATCACCCAGGAGGTAGTATAATAAAATCACTGTATTTTCCTCTGGCCTATATACTACTGCAGTGGTTTATTAGGTTACATTGTTTCTACTCTTGCTTCCTACCTCTCTCTATTCCTCAACACCCCAATGCACTTCCATGTAGTATCCACAAAGCAGCCAGGGCAGCATTTAAAAACATCAGTAGATTATTGTCTTGTTAATATTCTTTCACAAGCTTCCCAGTGCACTTTAACTATAAAGCTTCTGCATACTTATTCATAATCCTCCTTATTCCAAGGACTGGCTATACCTCCTGATTGCAAGACTTAATCAAACACAATTTTGTTATCTTCTCCCAAGTCTTCACATGAAACAATCTTTCCCTGCAACTCCTCTTTTATTAATTTCAGTTAAATCTTAACTTCAAGAGTCCTTTTTTATTATCCTTTTTTATTATCCTTGTGACCAACAAGTGTGTATTGATTTGCTTATTTCTCTAAATGTTAATCCTATAAAGGCAAGGAAATCATCAGGCAAATCTAGAAAGTGAGAAGCTCTAGAGCAGAATTAATTCAGTCTCTTCAGGAAGTGAAAGACATGAAAACATGGAAATATGTTGTGCAATAATAAAACACAGACACACAATAACTAAAACAAATCCTCATGGAAATTAAAGTCTTCTGCTCTGTAAAGTCTATGGGAAAGTTATTAAAATGTAAATGTAAGGTGCAATACTTGCAAACCATCTATCTGAAAGAGGACTAGTATCTAGAATCTATAGAGAATAGTCAAATCTCAACAGTAAAAATAAATAAATAAATAACAATCAAATCATTAGAGCTGGGCATCCATGGCTCATGCCTACAATCCTATCTACTCAGAAGGCTGAGATCTGAGGATCTCAGTGCAAAGCCACGCCAAACAGGAAAATCTGTGAGACATTATTTCCAGTAAACTATGAATAAGCTGGAACTGGAACTAGAAGCTCAGAGACAGCACCCAGGCCCAGAGTTCAAGCCCCAGGACTGGCAAAAATAAAGATAATTGGCAAAAGAAATTAAGATACACTTCATTAAAGAAGATATAGTGGCAATTAAGCACCATAAATATATTCATCCATCGTTAGCCATTAATATTCATTTCAATTAAAACTATACTGAGATTTCACTACACATTTACTGAAAAGTAGTAAAACTGCTAAATGCTGACAAGGAGGCAGAGAAACTGGATCATTCATCCATTCAAAAGAGAGATTGTTTTCTACTCTGGGAAGCCATCTGGCAGTTTCTTACTGACTACCCAGGTGATTAACCATATAATTCAGCAAATGCATGGTTAGGGATTTATACCTAAGAAAAATTTATACCCATGTTTTACTGAAAACCTTGCAGTATTCATAACAATTGTATTCATACTAGCTATACAATGGAAACAACATACATGTGCTTGAACAGATTACCATATCGCCAGGAGCCAGTGGCTCCTCGCTACTCAGGAGACTGAAATCTGAGGATCTCAGTTAAAAACCAGTCCAGACAGGAAAGTCCATGATACTCTTATCTCCAATAAACCACTAGAAAACCAGAAGTGGTCCTGTGGCTCAAGTGATAGAGCGCTAGCCTTGAGCTGAAGAGCTGAAGGACAGGGCCCAGACCCAGAGTTCAAGCCCCATGACTGGCAAAAATAAAAAATCTAAATGGTTCCATTCTGTATGATACTATTCATATAACATTTCTGATATGGAGGGCCAGAGGGGTGATGTCAGAGATTGGAGACATGGATTGGAAGGTGTGGTGAATAAGGAGGTCAATCAGGGCATCATGAGGGAAAGCTGCAGAGCTGGAGGTGTTCACTGTGGATACATAAATTGCCCAGCTAATAAAATTTGAAAGAACTTAATATACAAATTGATTTGGTAAAACTGAGGAAATTTGAATAAAATGTGATACGTTAATATCAACAATATCCTGGTTGTGATATTGCATTATAGTTTTGTAAAATGTTACCACTGGTAGAAAATGGGAAGAGATATAGAAATTATTATGAATTATTCCTTACAACAGTATTTACAGTTCTATTTATGTAAATCAAGATTTTTAAGTAAAAAATATTCCAAAGCTGGGGGTGTAATAGATTGTTTCCCTAACATGCGCAAACTCTTGGTGAGATTTCCACTCCTCTCAAACCCTAGCACAATATTCCATTGGAAAGTTGGGGGAGGTGGAGTTCAAATAAGATAAAACAAACTAGTAAAATGTTGATGACTGTTTCTAGTTTTATTTATTTTATTTCAGCATCCCAAATAGCTTGTAGTTCACAGAACATAGTTGTCTTTTCATACTTGTCTTCCCTTGTCCTTTGTCGAAGATACACCTAACATCCACCCCTCCCCACTTTTCTTTTAGCTGGTGTCACAGGATTGAATTCAGCAGACTGAACTCAGTGCTTGTGCTTTGTAGAGTCAGAAAATGGATCCATGATGACAAATGGTTCAGACACGATGACAGAGAAAAAAATGTGTGGCATTTTTAAAAAAATAAGCAAGGTCTGGGGTATGGCATAGTGGCAGAGTGTAGTCCTAGCATGTGCCAGACCCTGAGTTCATTCCCAACACCACAAAAACACACCAACCTGTTCAAAAAAATTTTAAAAATAAAAAAAAACAAATAAGCAAGCCAATGTTTGTCCACATAGATAGTCCTGGAGCCAAGGAAGAC